AATGATGAGATAATGACTTTTTTCATTTTACCAAGGATCCCTTAATCTTTGTGTACTTCCAGTAGTTCTGTTGAAGACAAAGGACATGAATAACCTATTCTCAGGTGAGTGTGCTGAATTAGCTCCATCTTGGACTTCTTGTAGCTTCTGCTTTATCTCCATTCTGTATTGCTCTTAGTGACTTTTCTTCCTATGAAGGCCTCCCTTGTGTTTCCTTTCATCCTGACCTTCACATACAGGCAGTGACTTAAAGGAAAGAATAGGTTCAGGAAGCATTGCCTTTGCACACCACACCCTGCCCAAGGAATTCCAAGGCTGACCATGGCCTTTTACGATTTGGACTTGATTTGGTTCCAAAACAACATCAGATGAAACACATCCTCCTAAACGGAGCAAAAACAAAACCTGTCAAAACACTTTTTCCTCCTCTCAGGAAAAAGGGCAGAATAAATGCTGCATTCCAAGAAACCATTTTTTAAGTTAAGGGTTTTTTTAAGCAGATCTGTTTTCAGCTACTGTGAGACCTTGTACATTTTTCGAGCAAAGACAGATCCGCATCAGAGAAACTCACTAAACCAAGGATTTTATTTTAAACAGTGTTTTTTATTTTATTTCCCCTCTCCTATAAACAATACATTCTTCTTTACTGGGTATATATATCTGGGTCCTAAATGGCATACAGTGGACCAGTGCGGGGTTTTTTTTGTGGTACATGGTCAGCCAGGAAACTGGCTAGAAGTGTGGCCCGATGGCCCAACTTTATTCTTCCTTGCAAAGGCCTTTTATTTTTGCTCCAGACTTCTGTCACCATGGAAACCACTCAACAAGCAGGAATGGAAACTAGACCCATTTCCTGGACCTATGTTTAGATTGGCATCACATGGCCCAGCAGGGCTGTAAGTCCTGTATTGTCAATTGTATACATCCATTTTTCTCTGGACTTGTTAATATTTTTATGTGAATTTTCTTCAGGCAATGGGTAGCAGACCTCTTTAAGGCCAATGGACTAGGAATATTATAGTGTGTGTGTGTGAGATGAAAGAAAAGCCTCATCTTTTTTTCTATTTGAAACAAAATAAAGAGGGAAAATGTATATGAAATGTACAGTCTGAAAATTAAGTTCACCTGAAATGACCTTAAAATTCTTAGGCTTAAAAATATTTTTGTAACAGCTAAGTCAATATCTTTAAAACTATTTATTGCAAGATACAGCAATAACACTTGTTGCATGGTCAGTGTTGAATCCTTTGTGTGCACTATTGCACCATGTCATTTAATCCACACAGTGATGTGTTCAAGTAGACTCTTCTTATCCCCATGAAACAGTCGCAGAAATGGAGTCATCGAGAATAGTCATTTTTCCAGGTCAGCACACTTAGATGGACTAAGGAGACAAGCCTTGTGCTGTGCTTCTCGAGATCAGCTGTTGCACATTCTATGGATTACAACAATCTGACAGACATGTGTAGCCTCTCGCAAAGCCAGGTGTTCTACAAAATAGAATTTGGGCAGCCATGATTCAGAACAGTTTTACAGAGCAGAAACTTGGGCTGGAAGAGTAAATGACTGCCTCTAGTCCCAGAAATGACAAAATACCAGCTTTTGTTATCAAGACCTTGTCTCTGAACTGATCCAGCTTATTAAGTCTGAGTCATAAGTTGCTGTTGTTGTTCAAACTCACCTCATTGCTTCTGGGACTGACTCATAACTGACCCTTCAGCAGATTTTCCTGAAGCTGTAAATCACATGAGAAGAGATTGCCATCTTTCTTCCTCAGAGCAGCTAGTGGATTCGAACCACCTGCCTTTAGATTGGCAGAGCAACTCCTTTCCAAAAGCACTCACTTATGTTGACGTTATGTTGTTGGTAGGTGCCTACAAGTCCTATGAACAACAGGTCTGAACTGTGTCCTATCCTGTACCATCCTCATCAAAGCAGATATACTTGAGCCTATTGCTGCTGTCACTGTGTCAGCCCATCCCATTGAGAATCTTCTCTTTCACTGATCTTCCACCTTTCTGAGCATGATGTCCCTTTTCAAGGAAAATCTCCTGCTCACAGCATACCTAAAGTATGTGAGAAGAAGCTTCACTGTTCATGTTTTTAAGTTAATGATGTTGTGTACCATCAAGTTACAGCTGACCCATAGCTGACTCTTCAGTGGGTTTTCAGCAGCAATAATTTGCATGGGAGGAGATGGCCAATTTTCAGAGGCAGTAAATGGCACAGGAGATTTCCTATCTTTTTCCTGTGGAACACCTGGTGAATATGAACCCAATACTTCTGCATTGGCAGTGCAATAAACTCTAATTTCTGGTGACCTTATATGCAACAGAAAGAAATACTACCAGATCCTAGATCATGCTCACAAACAGTCACCGGCATGTTGCAGTCGGTTGTTGTGACTGATGTGCCAGTCCGTCTTACCAAGGACCATCTCTTCTGATGACTTGTCCAAAGCAAGCAAGGTATACAGTGTTCTGTCATGAAGCATAAAGTTTTCATTGAATAATTTTTCAAAAGTAAATCACCACTCCTTTTTTCCTAGTCTTTCTTGATTTGGAAGTTTCACTGAAACTTGGCCCACCATGCATGAGCCTGCTGGTATTTAAATACTGTTTGCATAGCTTCCAGTATCACAGCATCATGTAAGTTACCACAAATTGTGACAAATTGGCAAATATGTGGTGGTTGCTTTGTGCCACTGAGTCATGACCCACCAGTAGGATTTTGGAGGATGCAAATTGCGTGTGAAGAGATTCCATCTTTCTCCTGTGAAGCAGCTGGTGGATTTGAATCACATGTCTATGGATTGGCAGTGTAACTTCTTACCACTAACCCGCCAGAGCTCCTCTCACAATAACTTCTGGTCACTCAAAAATTAAGAGTGGAGGGATCGCTGTAATTCCACTAGTAAAATCTAAAAAGTCAAGAATAAGAGGTGGAAGTTAGTGTATGTACTTGCCAATGACCTAAGGAAGCCAAGTTCTGACTTTTAATATAATGCTCCCTCGCTAAGAATAAGTTAATGGTGATTATCATCTTATTTTTTTTTATTTTTAGAATCAACAGCCAAAAATATTTGTGATCTTGAACATTAGGCAATATCAGACAGACAGCTAACCTGTTGTCAAGTGATTCCAACATTTGGCAGCCCCTGTGTGTTTGAGAACTGTGCTCAACATAGTTTTCAATGGCTATGTTTCAGTAGACATGCTACTATACTAGGCTTTTTTTTTCTGAGAAACATAACATTTTAATAGATGAAATAAATACTCCAGTACATGCAAGGTAAAAACTTGACACTGAAGGGGGGGAGATCACTCTCTATAGTGTAAATTAAAAAATAAAACACACACTCATCGTAGCTTGCCCCCCATTTGTAAATCACATGGCAAAGTCATACTCTTTCCACACCAATTATACTCCTAATCCAATGATTGCTTAAAAAAAATCATACAAAAAAAGGTAGCTACATCCATGTCTAAAGAGTGAAAACTGAGGTAACCTTTTTTTTTAATAGAGGGGGGAGGAACAAAACAAAACAAAACGAATGAACCCATGACCTCCTTCCTGCCCAATTAATAAAATGTGGTTGTGAAATTCTGGTAGACGGGTTGGGGTGGGGGTGAATACAGTTATACATCTTCTATACTAGGCTTTTATTCTGAGGTGCCTCTTTGCAGACTTGAACCTTTAACCTTTTGGTTAATAGCCAAGCATCTCAAACATTTGTACCATCCAGAGCCTCTCGCCTCTTGGAGCATTGTTGACGTTAAGTCAATGGTTAAGTAAATCAATGAAATGTTTGTTTAATGAGGAGCTTATCCCCTTACTAATTGGCTGACCTCTGATTATAGATATGTATATACACATTGTACAAAGTCATTCCCACTCATAACCCAGGGGAGGAGTTAGAAAAGTTTCTGAAGCAGCAGATCCATATATGCCCATTCTTCACTTATCAACATGATTAGGGTCTAAAGAACTTTATTATGTGAAAATAGGTGTTATAAAAATATAGATAATCACAACATAAGATCACAAAATAGGAGATGATGATGTCATTACATAATTACCTTATCACTAAGCATCAGAGCCCAAACAAATTGAGACACAACCTTAATCATTATAAACAGCTACTCTCACCTTGTACCTCAGTATTTGTTTACTGTCAGACATATTCCATTAGCATGCAAAATAGTGGGATAGTAGATTTTCTGCTGTTGTAAAGGCAAAATGACGTTCAGTGAGATATTCAGTAAATCGTGTACAACCAATCTGTTGTTTATCCAAGTTCTATATACTAGATGTCTCCTGGGAATTTGGTTAAAAAGCCCCTTCTGAATCAGAAGGGTTAGGAGCTCTGCATTCATTCCTGGAAAGCACATCAGTGATGCTGCTGGTTTGAGAAATGCACTACAGAGCAAAGGTCTAAACACAGCTGTAGTGGTCTGTGCACTTTGTTACCTCTGGCTGGTAACCGGTAATAAAACTTACTCATGCGTTCTTCTTCCTACAAAGGCTAACCAGATTTTTAATGCTCCCATGCTATCCAATGTTTTGGTAAAATATTTAAGTTATGCTTCAAGTTATAAACATTTGGCAGCATAAACATTTGTTTGTGCCTGTAGCTTTGGCTTACTCACACTCTGTCAGTAAGAGGAAGAGGAGACCCTTACTGGAACGTTCCATTGTGGTGTCAGGTAGATCTGGGGAGAAGGTGGAGATGGAGGGGAGAGTGTTTCCAACAGTACTGGAAATGGGGAGTGGATCCCATTGCAATTTTACTGAAACGTGCTCCACCCTTCCACATTCTCATGCCCTATGGCCACATTCCTAGCTCATCATGTCTGTTCCTGTTAAACATAAGTGATGGCTTATTCATCCCTGGAACCCCACACAAATCCTTGGTAGTATACCAAATCTTCTAGAGGTCAAACACCCTCATCTGAGATGTTTGGAAGGAAAACACCTTCTTTTTCTGTCTCTTTTTCCAGATGTCCCTGGGCCAGCAGCAGTCAGCAAGAGGTGTACCTTGTCTGAGATGCAAGGGGACATGCTTGGGCTTTGAGCCACATTCATGGAGGTAATGGAGATGGTCAGATGGCGCTCTGCTTGCTGTGTGGTTTTTTGGCTGTCCTTTCTTAGAACTCTGATTGTCCTTTTCTTCTGGGACTGCTTAGACTGCATGTGCTGCCAGGGATGAAGGACTCCAGAGTGAACACTCTTGTAGCTTGATCTTTAGGAAAATAAAGTCCCCACTGCCATGAAGAGAATTCCTGTCCATGGTGTTTTGGTGGAACTACTCTTCAGGGTTTTCTTGCCTTGGGATAGTAAAGAGTCAGTGAAAAAGAGTAAGACTTTTAATAAGATGCACTGAAACAATGACTGCAGCAATGGACTTAAAGCGCAGCAAAGTTGGTGAGAATGACACAGGATCAAGCAGGGTTGTGTCCTGGTTAAGGGGTCACCATAAGTCAAAACCAACTCATTGGCACCTAACAACAACAACAACAGTTATTACAGAAACAGATCATCAGGGCTTTCTTCCATGGCCAGGCTGGATGAGTTCAAATTACCGACCAATAGATTAGTGGTGGTTGTTGTGTACCTTCGAGTTGGAGCCGACCCATAGCTGAATCTCCAGCAGGTTTTCACAAACAGTTAATTGCATGAGAGGACATTAACCCATCCTTCCCCTGCAGAACAGCTGGCAGATAGTAGATTTGAACTGCACGCCTTTGGGATTGCAATGCAGCTTCTTAACACTAAGCCACCAGAGCTAGATGCCATCGAGTCAAGTGCGGCTCATTGCAACCCTGTGAACAGCAGATCTGAACTTTGCCCTACCCTGTGCCATCCTCTTGATCTCTCACCTGCTGGAGCCCACTGTCACTGTGTCATTCCACATTGTTGAGAGTCTTGCTCTCTTTTGATAACCCTCCACCAGATGTCTTTTTCTAGTGTCAAGAACTGACTCCTGACAACATGCCCAAAATATGTGAGACAACATTTCTCCATCTTTGCCTGTAAGGAGCACCCTGGCTGCACTCCCTGCAACACAGACTTACTTGTTGTTTTGGTTGTCCATGGAGTACTTAGTACTCTCCACTACAATTCAAAGACATCACTTCTTTGGTATTCCTTACCCATTGTCCAACTTTTCCTGTGCATATGAAACAATTAGAAGTACGCAAGCACAAAACATGTATGCTAAGGATTGACCCAATTCAGAAACAAGAAGCCTTTGAAGAGCAAGATAAAGAACTTGTCATATGTCCTTAATCTTACAGATCAGGGTAGAATTTCCTGATAGGGTTTCAAAGTTTGCGATTTTTGTGGGAGCAGATTGCCAGTGTGTTACAATGGAATAGCTAATGGGTTGAGCTACTGGCCTTTTGGTTGGCAGCTGAATGAACACTTATGTTGCCACCAGGACTTCTTAGAAGGGGCTCAACGCCTTATAAATGGTGTCAAGGTGGAGGATGTCAAGCACAGTTAAAATATTTTGGTGATTGATTTCACAATATTAGCTGGCACCTCTGAGAAAATACTTCCCAAATATTGCTCCCCACTGAGTGAGTGCTCAAGGTGAAACCCAACAAAGGGGACAGAAGTTCCTTGGTGTCCACCATGCTCTACAGACCTCAGCCTCTCTCCCAGGTTTGCCAGAAATCAGACTGATTGCATCTGTGAAAAGAATCAATGGAGAAGTTCAATATCAACAATCAAAATAAGGCTAGGGTCAGACTGTGGGAAAGAGCATGCATGTGCAAGGTCAAATTGAAGCTGAAGAAAAATTAAAACAAGTCTTTGAAAACCAAATTACAACCCTGAGTCTATCTCACCTGAATTTGTAAACTATCTCAAGAACAGATGTGATGTGTCTAAGGTGAAGAATTACCAATGACCAGACTGGTTGTAGAAAGACACCAAGAACATCATCCATATAGAAAGCAAAAGGTCATTACAAAGACAGGAAAGAAAGAAGAGACTAAAATGGAGTTCAGAAATTCTGAAACTTGTACTAGAATGTGGAAAGGACAAAACCAAGGAAGAAATGATGATTTAAGAGGGCTGAATTGGAGGTATCAGAAGGCTACTCACAAAGCAGAGTGTTGTGAAGAAATGTGCAAAGAGCTGGAATTAGAAAACCAAAAGAGAAGAACATGCTATTTCTGAAGCTGAAGGACCTGAAGAACAAATTTAAGCCACTAGTTGCAATTCTGAAGGATTTTATGGGCAAAATCTTGAATAATGCAGGAAATATCAAAACAATCACTGTAAAAGAAGAACTGGTCAACATGGAAAGTAGCATATATTCAAGAAGCACTTGTCATGAAGGAAGAGATTCAAACTACATTGAAGGCATTTGGGGGAAAAGGGGGAGGGGCCAGAAATTGTTGGAACATTAATTGATATATTTCAGTAAACATGTGCAAACCTGGATGTGCTCACTAGCCTATGCCATGATATTTGGAAGATAGCTTACTGGCCAGCTGACTGGAAGAGATACATATATGGTCCTATTTTTTTCTTTTTAAAGTGTGACTCAACACAATGTGGAAATTATTGAACAAAAGCTTGCTCGGCTCCACAATCAACACCCTTGGCACTAGCAGACAGGAAATCAAAAGACAAATTGCATTGGGGAAGTCTGCTATCAGGGACCTCTCCAAAGTGCTGAGAGTAATGATGTTAGCCTAGGAGCTAAGGTGCACCTGGCCATGGTCTTCACGATTATTTTTTATACATCAGAGAGCTGGACAATGAATAAGGATGACAGAAGAAAAACTGATGCCTTTGAGTTGTGTTGGAGAATGGTATTGAACATACCATGGATCACTAAGAGAACAAATAAGTCAATTTTGGAGAGGGTGAAACCAAGTTTCTCCTTGGAGGCAAGGATTTTGAAACTTTGTCTCACATACTTTGGCTCCTGGCTAGGAAATAGGAAGAACTAGTCCTTGGGGAATGACATCATGCTTGGAAGGGTAGAGGAACAGCACAGGAGAGGAAGACCCCAGATGAAATGGTTTGACATAGTAACTGGAGCAATGAGGGTAGTTGTGTGGGAGTCAGTGATACTGGCTCAGGATAGGACAGGGCTCAGAGCTATTGTATATAGGGTCGCAATGAGTGACAGGCCACTTGATGGTACATAACAACAACAACAGCATTAATATTACATACAAGTAAAATCTTTTTTTTACAAGTAAAATCTTGGTGAAGATTATTTTTAAAATGGCTAGAACAGTACATTGATGAGGCATTGAAATGACTGGAACAAGATGTTGACAAGAAACTGCCAGACATTTAAGCAGGATTCAGAAGAGGCCATGGAATATGATTTATCATTGCTGATGTCAGATGGATCTTGTCTGAAAAAGAGAATATCATAAAGATGTTTATTTATGTTTTATTGATTGTGCAAAGGCATTTGACTCTATGGATCATAACAAATTATGGCTAACATTGGGAAGAATGGGAATCCCAGAGCACTTGATTATACTTAATTGTTTATGCAACACCTACACATAGCCTACAAAGCAGTTGTCTAAACAAAAAAGAGAACATGGCATGTTTTAAAATCAGAAAAGGGAGCTCTGGTGGCCTAGTGGTAAAGAAGATGCACTGTAATCTCGAAGGCACATGGTTCAAATCCACCAGAATACTATACTGGAGGAGAGGCAATCTCTTCTTTTGCCAGTCGGATCCCATTTGATGATACTTGAAAAGATAATAATAATAATAAAAAATCAGGAAAGGTGTATGTTAGGGTTATATTCTTTCTCCATACCTATTCAATCTGTATGCTGGGCCAATAATTCGAAAAGCTGTATATCAACTTTATAAGTAAACCAATATAAAAATTTTAAAAAAAAGACCAAAATAAAAAGTGATGAGGTTTAAGACATACCATCTACACTGAATGACCCCATACACATAGCTAAGAAAACTTTATACCTAAATGGGATTACACCCACAGGTATAAGAAATGAGATTCCAGCACATATTTTGTGGGGACACAGTGCAGTCTATAATAGATCCAAACTCACAGAGCCACAGTCTCGCAAAGAATACTAGATTGTCATTCAGTATGAATCCTCTTACATAGAGAAATACACTTTCATGACTCAGACAAGAGAACCTCAGGATCCGCTTCTTCCCAGAGGGCATACATAATGTTGTTTCCTTGCTTTTCTTTTTTCTAATAGCTTTATTTTTAAAATATCTTTGCCTGGCATCTTGCTGATTTTCATGATTTGAAGGTGACAGGGAACTCTTGTTGGGGTTCCATTGTAGCAACTCCATCCTAAGTTGGTTCTGACACAAGCCAAATATTGCTTTTCTATTTTTCCCCCCAGTTTTCATTGTCACCTGCTATACGTGATATTACATACAGGGCATGCTACTGATGACAGGATGTATAACACACACAACATACACACAGATGATTGTTAAGCACTTCTTCATGAGTGAAATGTCAATAATGTCTATATAGCATGAAAATTAGAAGTGATCACTAGTCCCTTACAATTATCAAACAATTAAAATCAGCTCTAACTCAAGGTGGCCCTATATGTTTCAGAGAAGAACTGTGCTCTGTACTTTTCAAATAAATTTTTAAAAAATTAAATTCTTTGGCCCCTCCTGATAGGTTGTTTCAGTATTTGCCAGTCTCCTCTAACATTCTGTCTTATGAGGCCATTTTTGGGGGGGTTAGCTTCATAACTACCCTGCAAATTGGAGCCTTAATTTAACTTCTCACTAAGGCAAATTTTATTTTCTTATTTTATTCTTAAATTTTATGTTGGCTTGTGTACACAGGTCATAAAAATTGAGTTTCACACTATGCTTAATTAACATTGTGTTTCATACTATCATTCTCATTCATTATGTTTTATAAAATCAATCACTATTAAACTGTACTCTTCATTTACTCTGTCTTACCAGATCCTCATAGGATCTTTCTTGTTTCCTTTACACCCTTTCCCTCAACCTACCAAATTATGCAAACCCTGAAGATCTCCCCCCCTCCCCCGCCTATCCTCACCCTTTTTCTCCACCTCTGCCCACCTTGGA